GAAGGGGTGGCTTCCGGCAATTCCGGCCGCAAAGGAGCTACAAGCCAATCTGTCTCCCACTAAATGGAAGAAGATATTGAACAAACTTCTTTAAGACATACATTAATGCATGTGGTCCAATGATATAAGAGAAAAAAAAAGACGTACCACTGAAGTTTATAATCCCAGAAAAAAAAATGGAAGGGGTAGCACCCAAACCAAAACAACTAAACGTATAAAGGGGTACTATCCCACTAACTGGTGTTCGGCACATTAGATCCCAGAATCTGGAGATTGAACAAAATGGTGCTCACACCACAACTTCTGGAGGAAAGTGACTGATACGAAACACCTAACCTTATAAAGAAAGGTTTAATGAATGGCCTTCAAGGAGATATGTTCGACAGGAAACCAAGTAACGGAGAAAAAAACCACAGTGTTTTTTTCCAACACAATACTGAATCACTGAGAAAGGAAGATTTACTACGTGTGAAATTATACAATCAATAAACTTGAAATTTACCAAAAGAAAGTCATTGAAAAGGGTTTCGCCTGAAGTTTCGTCAGAATTCGCATGCATACTTACAGGCTTACTGTTGTTACTCAGATAAAATCAAAACACAAATCCCTTTAATTTCGGCACAATGACCAGCTTCAGGATAGAATCGGTACATTTATTTGCAAAGTGATAATTTCCAATTATGATTCCCTTCGGGATCGTCTTATCTGACACCGTTTGTGGCATACTTTTTGAACGATGTAGGCAATATACTAGCTAGATATTGGAAGCGAAGTAAACTTGGTGAGACTCATAATAATAGTTGATTGTGGTCTACGTTCGCTTTCGAAAGAATGCTCAGTACAAACATCGCGGGTCGAAGGACGATACGAACATCGACCAATGACGTTTTTGTTTTTAAAGACAGCAAGTACCTATTTTATTGAATCATGCCACAGAGCACAGAAAGTGTAAATTACAGTATGCCCTTTAGGATGGACTACCAGGAAAAATATTCGCCCTATGTATACATTTACATTCTGATCACAGATAGTCATTAAAATTTTCGGTTCGATTGACTATGTGTTAAGAATCCCTTTGCAATCTCATTGTCTTGACAATTTTTATAGCTACACACAATTCTGTTCTAAAGGAAACTGAAAGGGATACTTTTCTATTATTCGGAAGAACAGTTATTTTATTGTGAACCTCTTGTGATTGTATTAGGTTAAGTTAAAGCTACGAAAATTAGTTGAATTATCAAGCATTCCTCTGTTAGTTTCTTTTACTATTTAGGTTAAAATGCCCAGTGTCGGCTGATTATTAAAAAATTACAAATATTGGGAAATCTCGAAAACTGTTGATTTTCGCCCATACATATACAAGTAAAATTACTGCTTCCGAAAATATTTTCAAAACGGTACAAGACGGACTTCTAGAGGAACCTCGTCACGTAACGAAGGTTAGACCAAAAGTGACACGAATATCTCACACTAGAATCGAATACAACACAGTAGAACATAAGAATGTCACATGGGAACATCAAGCTTGCCCGTGATAACATTCCAGAGCAGCTAGTATGAAAATTATTGTAATATATCATATGCAGAGTGAATATGGATATAACTTAGACTATTAGAATGTCCGTCCTCGTTCGTATCAAAGTCAGTGTCCTGATTTTTATTTTGGGGTGATTCAGTTATAGATTTCTTTCTTTTGCACAACTTACATAATTTTATCACAATTACATTTAAAGTAACACCAACTATACCTATTATAAGGCTACTATTAACATGAGGATGATAATTGTTAAACTTGATTTGTACAACCTCTTTCATTTTGTACAAGTTCTCTTTTATATATAAAAAATCGTTGCTATTAATATGAAAGACACTTACCGTGTGGTGTACCTAATGTGACATCAGAAATATTAAAATCTAAGGGCTAACTTGGAAGGGCGGTGTTACAAAGGACATACGAGTTTATAATCAGTGTGCGGTTACTGCTAAGATCGTAGTTATCAATTAGAGTAAAAGGCTTGAGTTCGAGATCACAGTTTTCAAAAATAGTAACCCTGGTGTTACTTGAAATTAATACTGCTGCTCTTTAGTTCTCCTCCCTAGCTGCCCCGGTGCATACCTTTCTTTTTCACCGAAGCGGCCGTAACATCCAGTTCTGGCTGTAAGAAGTTCGATACAGTTAGGAAAGGAGGCCGAAGTCAGGCGGGTCTGTCTGGCAGGCACATCGCGCGGCGACAGCATGGAGGATAGCTCTGAGCAGCAAAGCCCATAGGCGTAGGGGTAGAAGAGAGCCACATCGTCGGCGGCCCGCCTGGGCGACAGGATCCCGAGACTGTCCGTTAGAGAAGAGTCATCGATCAGTCGGACAGTCCTCCTCTGAACATCGTCAAGCATGGATAATGAGTCGGCGCGGCAACAGTCCAAACATGTGAGCAATACTCGAGCCTAGGTCTTATCTGGGCCTTGTACCGAGTGAGGAGATAATGTGGAGAGAAGTTCTTAGCCCTTAACAAGTAGCTTTTTTCCAACAGCTGCCGCTATTGACATGATGTGGTTGTGCCAGATCTAGTCCTCGGTGATCTCTACTCCGACCAGCCGAAATGAACTGCTCTTTAGTAGAACTTGGCCATCCATCGAAACCGGATGGTTGTTCTATAAGTTCGATAAGTTCATGGACTTCATACCGTAGCCTGGTGGTACAGATCCTTGTACCTGCGCTCTGCTATTTGTTGCTGGCTAGGATCCCTCTAAGAACATTATTAGTTCGCGTAGTCGTCAGTAAAATTACTTGATTTTCAAAACGGTACAAGACGAGAAATCTACAGAAATCTTGTCATGTAGCCGTACCTAAAACATAAAGGTTTGACCAAAAGTGACAATAATTCAAGTGCATAGTATAAAACTGATTATACAGGGTGGCGCATCGAAAACGAAACAGACGCATTTACTGGCAGCTCAGTTTTTTTTTTTTGAAAAACGCTCAGACCCGTCGATTTTGTTTTCGAGGGGGACACAAGTTCGGCAAAAAATCAGGTTAACACGTGCAGCCCTCTGGGCGGGGGTGACATAATGATGTAAAATACATGATCTTCAGTTGAGTAGTTTTGAAGATTTATTGATTTAAAGCTTAAATAAAACAAATACATCTTCATTAGTGGAGATCAATACTGACCCGTTAGGCAAGTAAATGTTAAAAATGGCCACCATGCCTCTCCATGCAATAATAAAGATTTTGCTCAAAACGTTGCCGCACATTTTGCAATATTTAAGGAGTAATTTGAAGGCACTTATTCACAATTCTTTGTCGCACGTCTTCTAATGATGTTGGCTGAGTGGCATAGTTTTTGCTTTTTAAATGACCCCACATAAACAAATCCAAGGGTGATAAATCTAGCGATCTTGGGAGCCATTCAATGGACCCTCTTCTACCAATCCATCGATATGGAAACGTCTGATATAAATATTGTCGAACACGTAATGTGTAATGTGGTGGGGCACCATCCTGTTGGAACATCAACCGATTCGCAATGTACCGCCGATCATTCTGATTTTCAATTATGGCTGTTAATGCAGGATCTATGGCGTCTTCCAAGAATTCCAAATACATTTCACCGGTCAAATTTCCAGATAAGAAAAAAGGACCAACTAAATGATCGCCAAAAATACCAACCCAAACATTTAATTTTTGTGGCTGCTGTGTATGAACCTCATAATAAATTCTGGGATTAGAATCGGACCAATATCGGCAGTTATGACGATTTACTACGCCATTTAAGAAAGAGAAACATTCGTCGGAATAGCAAGTGTTGAATAGAAAATGTTCATCGTTTATAATTCGTTCACTCATATCTTCACAAAATTGTAATCGCCGATCAAAATCGTCTTCATTAAGTTCTTGTACCAGGTGAATTTTATACGGATGAAAACTACGGACATTTAGGAGCCGCTGGACAGTACGTCGACTAACACCACACACAGTCTTCATTTGCGGGTACTTAACGTAGGATCTACGAAAAAATTGAACTAAGGCCCGTATCGTCAGTCGTCCCTACAGTTGTAGGGCGCCTTTGTGGCCTCCTTGATTGTCATAGTTATCTGCTTCTCCGTGTCAGAACTCTATTTTGAGGTTATGTCACAAACATCTATTTGCATCAAATTGTGCTTGCTTTTGAGTTATATCATGTTTTATCAGCCTGAAATTTCCTACAATTTAAAAAGAAACCATATCTTCACAATAGGAGAGCGTAGACGCTGACACGGGATAAGTGTAATCTAGAAATTTTTGAAGGAGAGAAAGGCTGATGACAATCAAGGAGGCCATAAACGCGCCCTACAATTGTAGGGACGACTGACGATACGGGCCTAAGACCCACACTTCTATTGCTTTGTTCGTTATGGGATTTTCAATGTTGCGTTCTTTATTGGCGACTGACCCAGTTTCCCGAAATTTAGCTACAAGTTCTAGAACATATTTTCGATGCACGTTACTGTTCTCATGTCGCTCATTAAATATTTCTGTTGTTCTATTAGCGAACTGATTATTTCCGAAAAATATTTCGATAATTTCAAGTCTTTCTGCTGTGGAATATACCATGGTTAATTTATGTAATAAAGCGTTACAAGTTATTTTAGCAACACAGTTTGGTCAAATCAATCGCAAACTATGTACTAAATTCCTATTTAAAATAAGTACGAGATATTTCCTTATCTTTCTTCAAGAAAGTACAAACTAATCTGATGTACTTATTAAAGTCTACTTTAAGCTTTAAATCAATAAATCTTCAAAACTACTGAACTGAAGCGCATGTATTTTACATCATTATAAAGGGAATTGAAAGACCTTTAAAATAAGGTATCACTCGACCCCCCTTTCCATTTAGGATTTTAGGGTTGGTGTCACCCCCGCCCAGGGGGCTGCACGTGTTAACGTGATATTTTGCCAATCTTGTGTCCCCCTCGAAAATATAATCGACGGGTCTGAGCGTTTTTCCAAAAAAAAACTGAGCTGCCAGTAAATGCTTCTGTTTCGTTTTGGATGCGCCACCCTGTAATATCATGTCCGGTGATAACTTACATATAAGTCAGAGGCGTATTTAACCTAGGACCTAAAGGGTCTTGACTCTGTGCGGAAAGCTGAAAGCCGCCTCCATCAACAGCTTTGGTTTTTTTCTGTTCCTTTATGCAGCGGCAAAGCTTAAGAAGGCAAGGGCGCCAGTGATATAGGGTGAAATCGGTTGCAATCTAGGTCCCTATGGCGTCCTGGAACGAATACGGGAAATTACCAGTTACCCTGTAGACAAATCATAACAACGTAACAGCGTGATCAAAATAGAGATAGCATTGAAAATCTCCAGTCTTGAAGACGTCTTTGGTGCGACCCATCGGCCTCTGGTGCTGTTCAAGCATCATCATCTCGTTGAAAAATCGTCGCTTTCGGCCTTCGGCGGCATCTTCAGCAACAGAAGCAGCAGCGGGTAGCGGGTTGACCGCCGCACCGCGTCCAACGTTCATGAAAGAAACTCATTACCAGAAATGATTCGGCATTTTCGGTATAAGCACACCGTGGAATTGCTGCTATGCAGGTAGCCACCGACTGACTGCCGTCATTCTGCGTGACCTATCGCAACCTTTTCAACTGACCGCGACGGCCAGGGTTGGGCATGGCCACCTAACAGATCATTATCCTAAAGACGATGGCTAGATTGTTATTTGTATATGCAGTTGTAAAGAAAGGGCTACCAGGCTCTTGTATGCATCAAAGTACCCCTCAGGACTGGCTGTTCTGTTTTTTACTTCCCTCGCCAATTGGGGGTATTGAAATCGTGAACATTTTTTAAAGGGAGGGTATGTTTTTTGATGTTACATGATATGTATATCATGAAAGCCCATGTAAATTATTTAACTCGGTCTGTCTGACCGCTATCTTGGCCCAGCTATGCGTACAGTGTCAGATTTGGATAAAAACTGACTCAGTATCAAGACTTTTTTACTATCGCAGTAGCGGAGGCAGAAACCTAAATACTAGGACACCGCGACAGCTACAATGAATGTAACATTTGAAATGTATCCTGAGTTTTGCATGTTGATAATTCCATATATTTCTCTAGCCAATTTTATCACTCTTCAAAATGACAAGCGACATAAGATTATCTGTAATTTTTTTAAATGTACCAAACACGTCACCATCGCCCATCGTCTCGAAGATGCCAAAAGTCCTCAAAAAAACACTCGAAAACCCACCCAGAACTGTTGTCGAAAGACACCTGTTGTTATGCAATATTTGACTAAAATGTTGCAAATGCATTGTTTATGGATCTAAAACACGTGAAATAATCCTTCGATATCAAGGCTAAACTACTTTGTGCCTTATATCATTTTCTCACAGAACCAACAACATAGTTCCCTTTAAATGTCATGTTTGCTAGTATGAATGTATGTTAGCGTGTGCGGGACAAATCTTGAAACTGAATTCTAAATCAGTTAACCCCAATCAATGTTTGGTTTGCGTGACAATACAAAATGAATTAAGTTTCGCCATTTTGGATCCAGTATGGCCCATGCTACAAAATGGCGATTCATCATTTTCATAGTAACCCCTATGACATGATCAAATGCGAGAATTACAATGAGCAAAGTGACGACATTCTCAATACAATACTGTGACGATTTACATTTTTCAGTCATCCCTATAATATGAGTTTCAAATAAAAGGACCTGATGATAGAAACGCAATACGCAAAGTGACGTTATTCTAAGTCAAATAAGGCAGTCGCCTCAAAATAGCGGTCTAAATAGTCACCTCAACAACATAATATCAAATTAAAGGGCTTGATGCGAGAAACATAATAAGCATAGAGATGTCATTCCAAATCTAATATGGCGTTTACCGTAACATAAATAAAAGAGTTTGATGAGAGAACACGCAATAACCAATGTGATGTCATTCAAAATCCAATATGGCAACTGCCCCTATATGGCGTTCATAATTATCATAGTCACCTCTAAGGTATTTATAGGTATCAAATTAAATGGCTTTATAAGAAAAACATAACAAGCAACGCGATGCCATTATAAATCAAATATGGCAGTCATCGCAAAATGTTGATTTATATTTTCTATGGTAATTCTTATATTATGGGTATCAAATGTAAGCGCTCAATGAGGGAACATAATCAGGGAAGTGACGTCATATTCTATAGATCCAATATGGCGGCGGCCGCTAAAACGCTATGATATGGGTATCAAATGAAAAGGCTTAACAACAGAAACAGAATACGCAAATAACGTCATTGGAAGTTTCATATCGATGTATCATTATATGATGATTATATCTATCGAATTTTAGAATACAAATAAAGAAAGAAGTTTCATTAAGTCCTATTAATAAAACATATGAAAGTCATATAGAAATTACCAAACCAGTTATTTGACATGACAAATACTAAAAAGTAAAAAATAAATAAAACATTGAACTGGAAGTATTTTAACGATAATGAAGCTCCTTCATTTCAATTTTTCGAATAAAAGCGCGTTACGTTTTCACAGTTTTTACGCTTTTATTCGAAAACTTGAGTTGCTTCATTATGAATTAAATATTTCTAATCTAATTCAGTTCAGTTCAAAATTCAATCGTGTTTATTGTAAAAATACATACAGTACTAGTAAAAGTTGCTAATAAAGTTTTGGTCAAATGAACTTCACCGCATTGTTCGTGAAAGAGCGTTGAAATATGGATCCTGAATTATAACGATGTGAGGAAATGGTTATTGCGCGTATTCAAATTGTGAATCAAATTCCTGTAAGTAAAGTTGTATTTGAACATATCGGATATTTTTAACAAATTGATAGACGCTATTCTTAAATTGTTTATATGACGGGAGCATGTATTTTGAAGAAGTTCTTGCAGCCGGTATTTTATTTCGTCCAGACAGGGATAATAAACAATGTTGCAGTAAGCTATTTTACGGTACATACGAGGATATACACTGTAAATCTGAATTAATAAGGTTGTTACCTAGGTGGTAGTTTTTTGGAGAGAAACCATAGGAAACTTGAGTATCATCAGCATAAGATTGACTTGAACAGTGTTGAAGAGTATTAGCGATGTCAAAAATATATATGAGGAATCGGAGAAGCCCTAATATGGATCCCTGAGCCACGCCGGAATAAATAGGCCTTCTTCTGAACGTTTATTTTTTATCACGACATATTGATGTCGTTTATTTAGATAACAGTCTATCCAATTCAAAGCCAAAACGTCAAATCCAATATATTTACATTTATAAACCAAATCTTATAAGACTAGTGCGGTTGCTTCTTGCTTATCCGCCTCTGTCAGTAGTTCATCACAAACACGCGCCAGAGCGGTAGCCGCACTGTGCCCTTTTCTAAAGCAGGAATGGTTTTCAGGCAAAATGCTGGATGAAACGCGCAGCAATCTAAAAGGTCTGAGATTACCACATGGTTGAGGATTGGAAATAAATACAGGGTGCGGCAGAGAGGACGGAGGTTTTTGGGATGGGTAGTACTCTCCGCCTCCGTCTACGAGAGAGGTGGGGAGGGTGCCATTTGACTCGTGAGATCCTAGCATTATTTTACCAGTTGTCGTTATGGAGCCTTGGACGGTGGAGCACCGCGTTTTCGCCTATGATTGTTTCGTCCGAAATAATGAGTCAGTCATCGTCGTACAGCGTGAGTTTCGTCGCCACTTCAACATTCATCGGAATAGAGCTGTTCCCTCTCGAAACACCATCCTTCGTTGGGTTGAATCACTTCGCAGGCGTGGTGAACTGATCAACAGAAGACCAAGAGGAGCGCCGCGAACAGTTCGAACTAATGAAAATGTTGAACGCGTTCAACAGGTCTTTCTTCGCAGTCCGACTCGATCTGCCCGGAAACGTGCTGCTGCACTTCGCCTTAGTGATCGTTCGCTAAGGCGAATTTTGCATATGGATCTCCGCTTTTACCCCTACAAATTGACCTTTGTGCAACAGTTACAGCCCAGAGATTATGCACAACGAATGAACTTCGCACTTGAGATGGAAGCACTGATCGTTTAAAATGAGAACCTCAATTTGTTTATGAGTGACGAAGCCCACTTTCACCTAAACAGCATGGTTAACCAGCAGAATTGTCGTTATCGGGCTAATGAAAATCCGCAACAGTTACACGAAAGACCGCTGCACAGCCCAAAAGTAATGGTTTGGTGCGCTGTATCGCAAACTTGCATCATTGGCCCTTACTTCTTCGAAGACGGTAATGGTCGTCCCTGAATTACGACGGCGACGTGTTACAATCCGACGTGTGTGGTTCCAGCAGGATGAAACGACCGCCCACACAGCCCGAGCATCCATGGACGTTATTCGCCCTCTCTTCTCTGGTCTCCTTATTTCCAGGTTTGGCGATGTTCATTGGCCTCCTCGGTTCCCAGATTTATCCATATGCGATTTTTTTTATGGGGACACCTCAAGGCTACAGTATACGCGAACAAGCTCCGAACTCTGGACGAATTGAAGAGCGAAATACGCGTGGAAGTCGCCCAAGTTGAGAGAGCGATGTTGGAGTCTACGCGAACTTCCAAGAATGCCTCCAGCACTGCATTCACGATTTCGGCCACCACATGCCAGATGTGATTTTCCACACTTGACTGTCTCAAATGCGATTTCCTTGTGAACCTGATTCCATCAATAAATTTGTTTTCGAGTAAAAATTAACTATTTTATGATTTTTTTAAAACCGTCCATTCTCTCTGCCGCACCCTGTATATAAGCAGCAATTTATTATGGGTAATATGTATATTCCTATAGCGGGCAGACACAATTTAATCAATAAACGCCACTAGAATTGGACTTACTTATACTATGAATAGCATCTAATAATGTAGTTATATCGACAAGACGGGACTGAGAATGAAAATCGTGGTTTAACTTATTATTGCTATAATATTCGATAGTTTTGGAACAAGCGTCGCCGGTTTCTGAAACAGACTCGTAAAATCGGAAACTGCTAAATTGTCTGGAGTGTCAGTTATATTAGAATCCTTAATGTTTAAGTGACTTAAATGCTTTATAAAGAGCTAATACAAGAAATATTTTCAAATTCTTGGTATATTTTCTGAACAGCTACATAAAAACTTGTTTTTAAAAATTTATTTATTTTATTTATTATAACCCTTTCAACGTCTCTGTAGGTTTTGCCTGACCCTGTATATAGCACAGATTTAAGTGTGAATCAACAAAAATTACTCTATAAGACAAATCACTGTACATTTTTTTTCTAGGCTCGATGCTATTTCTTGGGCTATCAACGAGAATCACTTCCGTTAGTGCGTAGTCAGACTGGTTCCGTTGTTTAGTTATTTCACTCAGGAGTCAATTAGTTTTTAGAATAGGTGGACGTGATATGATTGGAATTCCTGCATGACAGGAAGCTGAACACCTAATCAGTTTACGGTAGACGTTCATTTCGATACAATGGGCGCCTATCATCTGCAATCAAATTTATAGTACTGTTAATTACAGTAGCCAAACAATAGTAAAGTCGTGCGAGGTGAGTCATATTATGCATGTTGATTAGCTGGATTCAGGTACATTAGGGCGTTTAATTTTTCCGTAGTTGTGATCTTCACATGACATTTCTCATCCCCTTATATACAGGGAAAGCCAAATTGCTGTCTTATGGCTTGAGTTGAATGCGTATGAGAGAGAAGTGCGAGAAGTATGTATCAACATAGGCTAGAAATAAATAGAACCCGGTTGAAGAGCGAAAGTCATCACCACAGTGCCCAGCGACGGTGATGCAGAATGTCGTACAATCTGCCGCGTTGACAATATGTTACACCAGAAAAAGTTCTACAATAGGTTAGGCTACTGTCAAACCTAAGAAAGAGGTCTGTTCGAATATTTAATATGATATTTTGTTTTCATTTTGATTGCAATTATTTATTTCAATTTTGATGCGACCTAGTGTTTTAATTTATTTTAGAATTATGCTTGATAAAATCAACACATCCTGAGTTATTGTTACATTGTGCAACAGTGTAACGTATACCATTACGCAACACAAGTAATCACTGCCTGCATATACACAAGTGAAAACCATTTCGAAGCAGGATGACATTCCCTAATGAGCGTTATATGGGTACTGTCCAAAATCGCTCATCTATGATCATGAATGTGGAAACCTTGCCTTGGAATCGATCCTAAATAGATTCGACGCAATTCACAATTCAAAAATGTATCCGCTCAAAATAAAACCAATTATTTGGACGTAGAGAATAAACCTACACATTTTTTCAACGTGCAACTAAATTCAAGGAATTGGTGTAACATTTTGGTAACGCGGCAGATTGTCGCGTCAGCGTTACTAGGCAACGCGGTGATGAGCTTCGCTATCCAGCCGGATTCTATCTCTTTCTAACATGTGTTCATACACACTTCTGTCTCGTTCAGATTGAATCCAAGCCATCAAACAAATTTGGTTCTCTGTGTATGCCGAGTTTCATTAAGTTTGGATATATGGTTGCACACATTTGTCTCTATTATCTAAATTATTAAAATTGATTAAGGGGTCCAACCCTGAACGTTATTGTCAGTAGGTCTCCTAATTTAGTCCTGAGCTACCGATTTCAATGCAATATCTGCCGAAAAGTGATTTGTCTGATATATCTACTTTTGTTGTGAAATAGCCCAACAAATTACAAAACTCTATTGTACTGCTCTTCACATGTAAACCTTATCCCTCCCGATTCACAAAGGCATATCGCTATCCCGCTGATAAATAGTATCACAGTTTTGTTAACTAAGAGTAACTTTCCGATTCATGGTTTCCAGCTTGACAGAAATTTGTATGTAAACAATGGTTCAATCATGTAGTCTTATTATGTATTTTGTATAAAGATTGATGGGAACCAATTTTTTTGTCAGCTCAGAAGTGATATTGGGACTATTGATTTTTCCATTGTACATATATTCGTTTAGATACACTTCAATTCAGTTTATAAGGCGATTTACGTAAATGTGATCAAAGGCTCTAAATATAATCCAATCTTCTCGAATTTAGGTATGCATACCTTTTAAATTGCTTAGACTGCATAGGCGAGCAAGTTTGTAAAAAAATACGTTTTTGTTTTTTTTGCCCTACAAAATGAAACGGCATAAGATACGAGTACATTCATAAGTAAATGGAGTCAAGAGAGTTGGCTCGATACTTGTCACACATTAATGTAAATATAATCCCTTATATTTGTCTGGCCGAATCAAACCAGGTATTGTATACATATATTTGAAATTAATCTTTATTTTATGAGGTTTCGATCCCAATGGTGATCTTTTTCGAGTACAAGTGACGCTTTTGACATATTTTGTTCATCTGTCTTCCAGGTGATACTTGGTACATTTCTTTTTATTTTTGATAAAGAAAATTCGAGAAATGCTAGAAAAACAATTTTTTAGGAAATAAAGTAATTGTAAATTAAAGGAACTAGCAGCTCCGGCTCAGGAGACAAAATAGTTGGGAAGACATTGAAATTCAATATGTGTTTCATCATAACTTGAGGAAATTTGGACAGTTTATGCTGGGCATGTACATTCAAAAAGATTGTCTATCCATATTCCTAGATAAGCACGTCAAGCTGAACATGTTTACCGTTTTCAGATAAACCGCTGGGCGCTAAGGAAGAAGGCGCATTTTTTCAGATGATCCTTATCTGACATATATATGATCTTTGATAAGAAATTGCCGCATTTTTACATTGGGCAGTCTGTTTATCACATTTTATTTATAACACAGATTGTTTCCGTTGCGTCCTGTAATATCTGAAAATTGGTATCTGGTCTGCATCACTGCGCTAGATTTGAATTCATAATGAGATTTTCAAAACACAGTTAAGGTTGAAAGTAGTATGGGACAAAAAATGTCCAGTTGATAAAAGAAGAAAAAGAAATAATTACAAAATGTTTACAATACTTTCCAATAACTTCCTGTGGTATTTACAACTCTTCTGTGATATTCAATATTTCGAATTAAAATTCAGAACCCAAAACGGAGTTTTAACATACTGTTAGCAAACATGTATCAGAATCTCTTCACCAACTACCCAAATATTGCAAAAAATACCCAGCTCGTTGTTAATGATAATGGAGCATCCCTATCTTTTATGCCAAAAGTTTATCCAGCTTTGGCGGCAGACTTGGGTAGAATTCGAATACAAAGGAACCTTGATGCCTATGTATAATAAATACATCTAGCTGATATTTCAATACTATTAGAAAACATTTGTATGTTTGGTACTCGTCTGAATTCTTTTTTGATCAGTACTCCGTATTCTGGATTCTGATTACCCTTTCTGAATCCCAATATTTGAATACCCACTTTTTCGAATCCTGTGATGAAATCCTGTTTTTGAATACTGTTTGACTATTCATATGGATATTGTGTTACGCTTTACGCAACTTAAACGTGTTAAAACACTTTCGTTGTACCTAGCTGTGGATGGCACAATCAAAATAACTACGTAAAGTTCATTTTGTTGTGTGGACGGTGATGCTTTTGACATATCGCTTAAGAAATGAGATTAGATTACATATCCAATTGAGGTTGTGCAGTATTGCCATTCAATTTCATTATAAATTTTAGTACCTGTTATAGTTTGTGTTTTTATACCAAATAAGGTAGATTTAAAAGAGGTATGTTTATTAGTGCTTATTTGTTAATTATTTAGGTACATTATGTAAGATTTAAATATTTTCTTATTAATTCTTATTCTATTAATTTTCTATGAAAAGCTAATAAAAATGAAGGAATGTTTTTTATTATACAATTAACTTGTATAACCTTACTGTGACACTGTGTATAAAAACGTTATTTTGAGTGTATATTAAATGTATTCACGTATTTTTAATTTTTTATATATACTTAAGAGCGTAAATAAAAATCAAAAATGTTCAAAGTGCGCATACGTTTTTTTTAGTTGGAATATTCAGGAAAAATTCATATTTAAATAAATCCAGGTATTCAAAACTGCGGTATTTGAATACTTTTTTCTTTGTATCCAAATCTTTAGTATTTGAATACAATTTGAAATAAAGTATTTAGAATTCGTATTCGGATACAGAATGTCTATTCGACCCAAGCGGTCATGAAGATTAAGCAGTGCTACAAACATTCCAGAAGATATGTTGATGGAAATCATGTTGTTTTGAATGTAATTTTTACTTTATCTAAAATGTAGCAAATATACAGTATAGCAGATGACAGAAAAGCATACCTTGTATTCTATACATCTTTAAGTTCTCGGTTATGGAGAATAGCCCATTTCTTCTAGGGTAGTCCACGTTCTCGCACAATTCAACTTGAGCACTGTTTGCTTCCGACACATTCTCATCTAACTCGCACTTCACTTCACAAAACACTTCAGTTCCATCAGGATCTTCAGTTTTTGATGACATCTGCAAAATAGCATAATCTACAATCTCGTAACGGTAGGGGATTTTCCACTACAACTATTATAAGGGCATAAAAATCTTTGAATATAAATCAACCTACAAAAACTGTTCGAAATGGCGTTCAGGGAAAATAGTTTCCAGTACCATACCTTCTTGAACTGTTATAAAATCAAGGTACCTAATTTTTTATTGAGTTATAACCAGCGATTATCCCACTTCCACATTTCCCACATTTTCCAAGGAGTTTTAACCAACGGATTCAGAAAATGTATGAGGAGCGAGTCAAGGATTTGCTTGTCTCCTAAGACTTATAGTCTGTAGTGTACTATAAGTACAGTCGACATAAGCAAATTTTTTGTCATTAAATTCTTACTTTTAGTATCGTTTCTTAAAGGTGCGACTGTTTGCTGATAATTTTGGTTGGTTGTTGGTACTTCGTTCATAAGAGCACCTCAAGCCTAATGAAGATAGATAGTATTATTTTTATGTTGATACAGCGCTGTCACTTTGATGGAGATTGGTAGTTATGTAAATCAAAAGAATGCACTATAACGACACAAATTTGGGTACAAACAATGCAATGAAAACATTATAGGCTTGGCTCCTTCTAATCTATTCAATTTTTTTGATTTCAAACAATAATCTACAGGGTGTTACTTAATGATAGACCGTAATAACAGCAGCGCATTCCTGAACCAACTTTAAGTAGAAAAGTTCCTATAAACATGTGTCCTAAAAAGTTTGATTTCCAAGATACCGAAATATGGTATACAGTGCACTTTTACTAAAGCCCCTCCGTTTATTTTCAGTACAAGTTAGCAAGCTGGAATTTAGGTAGATAAGATGAGCGCTCGTTTCGTCGTTGGCTGGCATGGTGGTCCGTAGAACCTTTGCCTTTGGGTAAAAGTATTTCGGTAAGTCGTCTGTCGTGGTTGCCCAGAAACAACACAAAGTCAAAGAAAAAGAGCAAAGTTCAAGTATAGCTATTAGTAAAGGAAACGCCTAGGCATTGTTGAAGTGACAAGAATGATTTTAATTCACTAGAAGAAACAATTTTGAAATGTAAGGTTTTAATAGAAGGTGTTTTTGGAAAATAAGAAAATGCAAAACAAAAATTAGTCACAGTGTGAGTCGTGGTCTGGAGTGTTTGCGAACTTGTTCGACTGTCCAGTCCACTCACTCACGCAACAAATGACTGCAGCACGATTCGCTTGTTCATCACATCGCTGCGCCTGTTGTTTAATGTAATCCCCAAAATGAGGGATATCGAGATCTCTCCGTTGGGTATTATTTGAGACACACCCTGGGTTATTGGTTATGGTTCGTAGGCCCCTGTTTTGCAGAGCTCGCATGTGCGTTTTCACTAGAAAGCACCAAGCCGCACATGCGTATGTAATGGTGATCGTTTTGTAAAGCCGAATTTTGTTAATCAAACTCAATTGTGACGATCTACATAATAAATCATAAGGTCGCGACTCCAAGGGATCTAACGGAATTTTCCCATGGTACCATGGTTCCATCCACAGAGTTCTCTGACTGGGCGTCGCAACGCTTTTTAGTACAATAGCTTCCCTACGCTTTCGAATGGTTAATTTTATTCAGCCATCTAATAATTCTAACACTACTTATATTTCAGCATAAAAGCGCAGTTAAAACTTTGAAGATGGCGGCAAGCTGCCAACTTAGAGCATTGTTTTGAAAGAATGGGAAATCATGTATTACCTAATGTTTGAAGCTCCTTCTGCTCTTCTTGTACATTGAATCGCCTGTATCTAACCACCAAAACCAATGAAACATGGCGTCGGTCACAGGTACAGTGATTCAGGGAGCTGAATAAGTTAAAAAAGAATAAACAGTCGAATTGTTGTAAAAAAGAAGTTACCAGCGAATAATAGTAGTACAGTGTTAGCAGAATTTGTAGCTGGCTTGTAAAAGTGTTCCTCGTGTCAACATAGCAACAAAGAAGCACCGACTTACTTGGATGCACTGACTGCGGTTAGTGCAGTGGAGTGTTATGAAGAAACTTGCGTATCACTGCTCAGGAACATGAAGACCTTATAAAGTTGTTGAAAATGGAAAATAGTTCTCATATAAATCATAAAAGCAAGAGGTTAGAAATATGTACAAGATGCACCATCTCGCGAAAAATACAAAATTCGCAGATTTTGTGATGTAACTTTGATCAGAAATCACCAAGAAACATTAACATAAATATTGATGAGTCCAAAAATGACCGCAAAATATCAAAACAAGATACAAGCTCCAAATCTTATATATTTCACAAAAAAAAACTGGCAGAATTTTTACGACTCTCTGCCTCGAAACAATTTCGTAAATAGAAGAAAACCAATAATTGGCACAAGAAATAAAAATCTAAATCAAATTCAAACTGTTCAAAAGTTGGGATATTTAGATGTGTTCCGTTGCGGTTCGAACGTTAAATCACAGATCTCCAGAAGAAACTATGTGAATCAGCTCCTGACATTCAATTCAACTGTGAGGTGTGGAATAAAACAGGAAAAGACAACTTTTTTTAGAGCGTCATTTCCATCGATAAGGTAAAAGAGGTGTATAATCCAGACATGTGGCATACTGGGTCACCGTTTTAGGCGTAAGAAAAAACTTAAGCAGCCTGGAAATTTCTCTGAGGCAAAAAACTGATTTCATCTGACAAGGAACATGTGTTCCACTATTTTATCTTAAATATGAGAACAAAAACCATGACGAGATAGTAAATATCCTGTAAGTATTTCATATGGATGTGCAGACGTGGCCAAATAAAGTAGACCTTTTCAAAGCTTATTGCCAAGAAAAACGCACTGAGATCATTTGTATTGATTAACATTGTTTAGAAAATGATCAATTCTGTGTACTTATATAAACTAAGTTTCACTGGTTAGTAGTTTTCGCAGATTGAGGACAAGTGTGGTGGAACGGCCATTTTTGTCCATGACTCTGATATCTCCTATACATATTATTAACGAGCTCTCTTTGGAATCTGTGATTGAGTGTTCTACCATAAAAATTCATTAGTTGTCTGATTGATGTGTACAGACCTCCTTCAGGTAATACCTAACTGTTTATAAATGTCAAATACTTTCTAAGACAACGACAAATTTTTATTTCGAACTAACTTGAGGAGGTTTGAATACCAACGCTAAAGATCATACCAACCTTGCTTAGTAGATGCTCAAAACTTTGGTTTGGATTTCTTGGATCACTGTGCTTAGCAATTTGATGTTAATTTAGCACCACTTGGGTCACATAAAAACGTAATACAATTCAAATCAGACCCTTCAATCAGTCAGATATTGAGAAATTCTGTTTCAGGTTTGACAGAGAGTATGATGGGACTAGCGATGTGAAGTTTAACATTGAATTGGACATATTTTCGATTCTTTCTGCTACAAACAAAAAAAGCAAGAAAAAAATGATTTTTCTGACGAATTTATAATAGAAACAAACAACTTTGAAAGATTAAATCGGATAAAAAATAACTGCAACGACGAAGTCGTTAGGCAAAGGTATTGGATAAAAGAAGACGTCAATAAAGAGATTAAAAATGAAAAATTTGGAAATTACAATCAACTAGTCACTCATTCATGAGATAAAATTAAAACTACTTGGTCGATGATCGATAAATTTTGTTGCAAAGAAATTAGTAAGGAAAATGTTGATGTTAACCAACTTAACTCGTATTTCAGCGGAGATCTTTCTGAAACATATACGGTTCCAAACAGATATGTGCCAATACCTTTTCTCGATGAATTTGTTACAACAGAAAAAAAATGTTATGGCATTCCAGAATAAAGATTCGTGTGGGTTCTTCTATCAGATATCTGTTAGACACATTAAGAAGCTTCATTGATAACCATAGCCTAGTGTCATTACTGAGCATCTTGTCCAAAATTATTGCAAAAGTTGTATATGACCGAATATATGAATTTATCACCAAATAAATATAACACTCTATGTAAGAGACAGCATGGATTTCGCAACACAGAATCGAGCTGCATTGATCTAATTCAATAAATATCCGATAAACTGGACATGGAGGATCTTGTAACTGTTATATCATTTGACCTAACACGTGCGTTTGATACAGTTGACAAAACCTTTGTTACGAATAAAAAGGAACATATGGAAGTGAGGGGTAGTATTGATTGTCTTATTGTTTCTTACTTAACAGGTCGTAAGTTAAAATTTGTGAATCACTGTTGGATTATTATAATCAGGAATATCGGTAGCCCACAGGGTACTGTTCACGGACCCCTGCTCTTTCTGCTTTTCATCAACGATTTACCAGACGACATCACCGAAAGCGAAATATTTTTATATGCGCATGATACTACTGCAGTATTTCTGCTGCATCTGAAATCGAAATGTAACTTAAGGTGTATATATACAGTACTTCGAGAGTTTACTAACTGGTGTAACCTAAGCGATCTAATTATAGCTCACGATAAAACAATAGCTATGAATGTAAGAACTGCGAGAAAGCAATCCTGTAATGTTAACTTGTCCCTTAATGGCCATTTGAGTTTAGTGAGAAACCCATATCGACAGTATTTGCAAAAAGCTAAATACAGATGCTTTCGTCATAAGCAGGCTAAAAAATTGCGTAAATCGCGAAACCTTAATTATTATCAACTATGCGTTTACATACTCGGCCTTGATATATAATATGGTTGTCTGGGGAAGGCCTCTACTACCAACCGAGTCTTCAGCACACAAAAATGTGTTAGAAACATGTTCAATTTATCGTTCAGAACGTCCTGTAGGGACTATTTAAAAAAAGATCGCCATTTGACCGTTCCCTCAATTTATTTGATAAAACTACTGACCTATACCCATGAGAACAAATATGTACTATACTTTGCAAAAAGAAAACCACACTTCTATGATTGTAACACGATGAATAAGAACCAATTTTGCTTAGATAAGCATAACTTAACTACTTAACTACTAAAATTTGCCTAGATACGCTGGTACACGAATAAACAATTAAATATAAAAAACAGATAACGTTATGCTATTTAAAAAGCACCTTAAGAATGTAGGAGATATATGTATACTCCTCGTGACTTTCTGTTATACTTAAAAACTGCTTCAAGATATCGATCCAAAGATTTTAATTTGCCACTTCTACTCTAAAATATATTATTCATGTATTAGTTTCATCAACCCGAATATCAACTTGCTAACTTGAAAAATAAGTGAATGGTTTTTTTAAAGAAAAGCACTGAGTTCTATTATGCAAAAAATGGCACTTTACGGTGCAGATGATAATATATCAGGTAATAGCCTTCCAAGCAATAATTCTTTGTTAGGAAGACTAGCAGG